TCAAAGCCCATGTCCTGACAATCCCCGGCAAGGTCCCCCACGCGCTGGCCCTGTCATCTCTCTGCCCCACCTCCTATCCTGCTCCCCTTTCCGGCTTCGTTCCAGCCACGTGGTCTCTGCCGTGTTCCCTGGACCCCCCAAAGCACGCTCCCACCTCGGCGTCTGTGCACTGCTGTCCCCTCTGCCGGAAAGCCCCCACCACCGCCACCTGGAGTCCCCATGGCTCATCCCTGACTTCTGTCACCTTCCCTGACCCTCACCCAACGCAGCAACCCTGCACCCCACCTGCTGCATCATTCTTCACAGCACCTGACACCCCCCGACGTGCTGTCTCCCACCCACTCCCCTCAGAGCGAAGGGCCCACCCAGGAGAGCAGCGACTGTTCCGTCCCTGCTGTTTCCCCAGAGCCTGGAACCCTGGTGGATAGATGGTAGCCACGCAGAGATTATTGCGGCCCGAATGAATGAAAATAAGGACTAGGTGGAAGGAGTAGGTTCTAGTAGTCAGTTGTACGGTAAGGGAAATCATAGTTAATCATTTACTGTAGATTTCAAAATAACTCAAAGCGAAGAATTATAATGTTCCCAGCACAAAGAAAAGGTAAACGTTCGAGGTGATGGATGTTCCGGTGACCCTGATTTGATGATTATACGTTGTATGCAGGCATCAAAATATCACATGCATCCCCCGATGTATACAACTGTTAAATATCAATTAAAAAATTTTTAAAAAAGGACTGGAAAGCTACCACTGGATTAAGCAACAGGAAATGACTCAGTGGAGAAATGGGAACAGAAGCCGGACTTCAGTGGGGCGAGAAGTGAGCAGGAGGGGAGAGTGTAGACGGGGGGGTGGGGGGTGGTGGTGTAGACGGCTCTGCCGGGAAGCTTGGCCGGAAAGGGGAGACGCCAGCCAGGCACGGGATGCCGGCTCGAGAGCAAGTGTTGGAAGCTGGGAGGGGCCCAGAGGACAGGCAGGCGCGCTGCGCCTCACCCTGGGGGGCAGATGTGTCCTGACCTGCCCTGGGCACCCAGCCTCACCCAGCGGATGAAGACGCAGGACCCTGTCCCCCTCTGCGGCTACAGGGCATGACTCTCTCCGGGGGCCAGAAGCAGCGGCTGAGCCTGGCGCGGGCCGTGTACAGAAAGGCTGCTGTGTACCTGCTGGACGACCCCCTGGCGGCCCTGGATGCCCACGTCAGCCAGCACGTCTTCAGCCAGGTCATCGGGCCCCACGGGCTGCTCCAGGGGACAGTAAGTTTGGGAACGTGTGTCAGAGGGCACAGGGCAAAGGCAAGGGAAGCCCTTCGCGTCCAGTCCTAACCCAAGTTAGTTTTCACGTCACCACCACCCCCACTTAAGTCCCATTTTCCTCTTAGCATTGGTCAGCTTTCGCTGTGACGATGCTGCGTAACAAGCAGCCCTCAAATGTCAGTGGCTCACAGCAGCGGTTGTTTCTTTCTTGGGTTTGTGGTTAAACTACTGCAGCCCTGCCTCAGCCGACTGGCCAGGTACAGATGAACTCCTTGTCTTCTTGTTTCGAGCCACAGGCTGAAGGGGGTCCCCTCTGTTTCTCTATTTGGATGTGCTTTCAAGAAAAAGAACCACAGCACAAGAAGGGAGCTGTCCCCACTCTGAGCCCAGGGACACTGTCCCCAGTCCCAGCTCCAGGAGACTGGCCACGTGCATGAGTGTGACTTTCACCCCTTCCCTGCCCAGACACGGATTCTCGTGACCCACACGCTCCACGTCCTGCCCCAGGCCGATTGGATCGTGGTGCTGGAAGATGGGGCCATCGCGGAGATGGGCTCCTACCAGGAGCTTCTGCTCAGGAAGGGGGCCCTGCTGCGCCTTCTGGATCAAGCCAGACAGCTGGGAGGTGGAGGAGAAGGAGGTACTGGCTGGGTTTTGCCAATTCTCTGCCTGGCTCCTGCCAGCCCTGGGGAGAAGGCTCCAAGGGTCCCCCTGGCATGAGTGGAGTGCTCTGGTCACACCCTCTCTGCAGGCCCATGCCTGGGAGCAGACATCTCTCCCAAGAGGCCACCTCTCCCCAAGAAGAGCCAGTGACACCAGGGGCTGTGCTAAGGGCTTCTGTAAACATACATCATTTCGTTCGATTCTCACGATACCCCCACGGTGTGTGCAGTTGTTGCTGCCATTTTACAGATGAGGAAACTGGGGCACAGAGAGTTAAATCATTTGCCCAAGTTCAACTCCAGAGTCTATGCTCATAGCTACAACAAAAACTGAGCAAGAAGGTCTTTGGTGCCTAGAAGACTGCAAATGCTAGCCAGGGCTTCGAATAATCCAGAGAACAAAAAGACTGCTGGGCATACGAGTTTCTGGAAGTAACGTTGCCAATCCAAGCTCACCCACGGCAAGGGAAAAGTAACAGCTAATGGCACGTCATATACGTTAACTTGTTTAATCAGCACAGTGCCCCTGTAAGGTTGGCACTAGGATGATCTCCGTTTCACAGATGAGGAAACTGAGGCCCAGAAGTTAGGGAACTGGTCCAAGGTCACATGGCTTAGAAGTGGCAGTGCTGAGATTTGAACCCAGGCAACGTGACTCCAGAGAATGTGTTTTTTAATCAGTGGGCTATGAGCTGCTCCTCCATAAAAAAAAAAAAAAAAAAAAGAATCACACCCAGGTCTCGCTCGATCTTAGGCTTTGCCTCTTCTGAGAACATCTGCTCAGCACCAGCCCACCCTGGTAAAAACCCTAAATGTTGATTCACAGTATCACCAACCTTGAAGATAGAACTTGCCCATTTGTACTGGTCAGCTTTTGCCGTGATGATGCTGTGTAACAAACAACCCCCAAATCTCAGAAGCTTCCAACAGCAGTTATCTCTTGCTTACAGGCTTTTGGTTTAAACCACTGCAGCTCTGCCTCCTGTTATTGGCTCAGCCTTGGGGACGGTTGGTTGGGGTGTCCTTCCTGGGTGAGATGGGACCCGAGGGTGGGTGAGAGTTAGCCAGAAAAGAGCATTCCAGCCACAAGGAACTGCTTGAGCAAGGGTGTCGGGGGAAATGGAGGCAACTTGGCTTTGTGTGGTGTTTGTTGCCGTTTTTTCGGCCTCAAGTTCGTAGCAGGTGCGTAGTTATATTTGCTGATTGACTCAATGAATGAACAAGTAAATGAACGAATAACATTCCTGGAAGAGCCCAGGCAGGGCTGAGCGAGGTTGCTGGAAAGGCGGTGGGGGAAGCACGTACTCAGAGAGGAGGTTAAGGCCGTGGAGGCAGCGAGTGTCAGGGCCAGTGTCTGGCCCCCGTGGTGTGACAAGACTCCCGTGACTTTGCAGAAACAGAGCCTGGGACCAGTGGCGAGGACCCCGGAGGCTCCTATGTGGGCCAGAGGCGCCAGCCCAGACGGGAGAGGTGAGTCCACTGTGCTCGGGAGGCCAGGGGCCGAGGCCCAAGCAGCGCCTGCTGGGCCCTCCCGCATCTCAGGCAGGTCGGGGTGGCCAGAGCCACTACAGAGGGAGCCCTTGCTAAGTCCCCGTGGTGCTCAGCTGAGAGGTGATTCACCAAAAACAGTTGCCAATCAATTCACGGAATGAACAATTTGCCCTCCAAGTGATGCCATCAAGTGGGCGGGGTTGGTTTGTTGGGTTTGTCTCCTTGCCGGAGAAGGGCGGGGCCGGTTCCAAAGACAGCCCCTCTGCACAGTTGTTACCGACCACACCAGGTCCTGTCGCCTGTGCTTTGACAGGCAGGTTACGGGCTCCCCACGGGGCTGGCTGCTGCAGGGGGACTGGCCAGCTGGAGCCCACTGTCCTCACGGAGAGAGGCCTTGGGAGACAGGGCAGCGGGCCACCAGGCACCAGGCGGTCTGAGCTTAAGTGCCCGCTGTTGGGGTCGGATATAGCAGGGGCTTTGAGGGGCCTCAGTCCATGGAGATCATTGGGGCTGGGCACAGCCCCTCCCTCCCCATCCCAGCCACCCGAGGGCACCGCTGAGTCCCACGCTGGGCAGCCCCACTGTCTTCACAGCCCCCAAGATGGCGAAATGAGATCAGATGGGTATGTAGGTAGTTGTGTGTATGTAGGTATGTGGGTGGGTGGATAGATAGATATTATCCCCATTTTCACAGCTGAGGAAACTGAGGCAGAGAGGTCAAGTTAGCTCACTCATCTGCAGAGGAAAGGAGCATTGGAAAAGTCTTCGGCATTTGGACTGTGCGTAACTGACACTCTGCCAGGCTAGGCTGACCCATCTGGGTAAACAGTAGGGGCAGAACAATGCAGCAAAGCTTAGACCAAAGGGAAAATTCTGAGAACAGAGTTCCAAAGTTGGCCGAGTAAGTTCAGTGGGTGAGATGGCATCTGGAGGACGGGCTTGCTCGACTCGGGGCAGTGGTGGCGTTTAGGCAGCGGTGGCGTTTAGGCAGCAGCACAGGGGGGAAGGGCAGCGAGAGACTGGGCGCTCCATCTGTCAGCTGAATGAACGAATGAGTGAATGAATGGGTAGAGAGTGTACCCCAGGGCAGTGGGCTGGGCCTGAGGTTGGCCCCCTGTGGGGAGAAATACTGACTTGTCCTCATTTCCTCTAAATGACAGGCCCATCAGCTCAGTCTCTGAGAAGGACAGCAGCACTGTGGAAGCCCAGACAGCGGTTCCTCTAGACGACCCCGACGTGGCAGGACAACCGACAGGAGAGGACGGCGTGCAGTATGGCAGGGTAACCACCAGCTGTCCCCAGCCCTCCCCACCCTGTGCCGCTGCCCCCAGGAGCCCAAGGCCTCCCCCAAGATATAGCACTGGTGGGGGCAGTGATACCTTTACTGAGCATCTACTATGTGCGTGGTAAGATTCTAGACCTTCATATTAATCCTCACTCTAAAATACAGATGGTGATAGCTCCATTTTAGAGATGAAGAAACTGAAGTCTTAAAGAGTTAGGAGACTAAGCTGGGCACAGTGGCTCACGCCTATAATCCCAGCATTTGGGGAGGCCGACTTGAGCGGGAGGATCACTTGAGCTCAGGAGTTCGAGACCAGCCTGGGCAACATAGTGAGACCCCCATCTCTATAAAATAATGAAAAAAAAAATTAGCTAGGCACCGTGGTGTGTGCCTGTAGTCCCGGGAGGATCACTTGAGCCCATGAGTTTGAGGCTGCAATGAGCTATGATGTGCCCCTCTGCACAGCAGCCTGGGCAACACAGCAAGACCCCATCTATTTAAAAAAAAGAGAGAGACTTGTCTGTGTTCTCATCGCTAGCATATGACCAGCCTGGGACTCAAATCAGGTCAGTCTAAATTGGAAGCGTGTCCTGTTTCTCCCCTTTATGTGGCTGTGTCCGTCCACCCATCCATCCCATCATCCACCCAGATGCCCTTCCATCTGCCCACTCGTTTATCCAGGCATCCAACCCTCCTAACCATACACCCAACCATCCACTCACCTATACGTCTGTCTGCCCCCCTGTTTGTTCATGTATTTGTCCATCCATCCCTCCACCCACCCACCCCCTTACCTACCCACTCATTTATCCACTCACCCACTCATCTAGCCAGCAAACATCTACACAGCACCCCCTGTGCCAGGCTAAGTCTGGTGGAGGTTACATGCTAGTGAGGGTAGACAGACAGCAAACAGGCTGATAAGGTAATATCCGATAACGGTAAGCGCTATAAAGAAAATGCAAAGATCGATGACAGGGAGACCAACCAGGGGTCCCAGTCTGCTTAGATAGGATGCTCTAAGGAGTGACATTTGAGCCGCCAGGAAGAACGCGAAGGACCTGGCCATGCAAAGTGCAGGAGAAAGAGGGTTCCAGGCAGAGGGAAGAGCAGGTGCAAAGCCAGCGAGAAGCAGGTCCCAGCAGGGCAGAGAGTGAAGTGGGGGTGAGACGAGGAGTTTGGAATTTCTTCTAAGAGCAAGAGAAAGCCACAGACGCGCCAGCGACAGCAAGATACGATTAGATTGATGCTTCCAAAAGTTTGCTCTGTCTGCAGCTGTGCAGAGGAGTTCAGGCTTGTAGGAGCAGGACCTTAAGCAAGTGGCTGAACCTCTCTGTGCCTCAGTTTCCTTATCTGTGGAATGGAACTTATTGTGAGCATGGAGACACACGCCTGACTCACAGTAGATGCTCAAGAAAACACTCCCCAAACCAGAAAGCCCCACAGTCTGTCACCGACCTACCGGGGGTTCTGTAGCAGAAGGGGGTCCTGCAGCCAGGCGGGGCCACAGGGGAGACGGTGCTCCTGGGAGCAGGTGTTGAGAGACGACCCGTGAGATCTGCGTGGTGGTTCCATCTGCCCCGCCGGTGTGTTTTTTGGGAGCCTCGCCTGGCCTTGCCCCAACTCACCGCTCCCTCCGGGGCCTCTCTCTGCCACCCCGTCCCCCGACGTGTGCTGCAGGTGAAGGCCGCCATGCACCTGACCTACCTGCGGGCCGTGGGCGCCCCCCTCTGCCTCTACGTACTCTTCCTCTTCCTCTGCCAGCAAGCCGCTTCCTTCTGCCGGGGCTACTGGCTGAGCCTGTGGGCGGACGACCCCGCCGTGGACGGGCGGCAGACGCAGGCAGCCCTGCGTGGCGGGGTCTTCGGGCTGCTCGGCTGTCTCCAAGGTGCGCCTCACCCACCCTCCTCATCCTCCTGCCCCCAGCTCCCTTGCTCACTCTGTTCTCCCCGAACACCTGTGCAAAACATCCTGGCCCGAAGCACACGCCCACGTCCTTAAGATGGGACTGGGGGACAGGGCCTATCCCTCCCTTTCTGGAACCTCCAGAATCTCTCCCAGCACCTCCCCCCAGCAGAGGGCAGCTCCAAGGTCTGCCTGCTGGTGACTTTCGGTGCCCTTGAAACCTCCAGAAAGAGCCAGACGGTCCCCAACAAGTGCACCACCGCCATTACCCCGTCTTCCCTTTTTTAAAAAATAGAAATGTTTATTGAGCTAATTCACATACGGTTCTAAGAAAAAATACAGCCAGCTCCCTCGCACACTCTGCCCAGTGTCCTCCTCTGTAAAAGGGGGCACCAGGCCTGAGCTTGAGGACCCTTCTAGTCCTAAGTATCTATAGACCTGTTTGCCAGAGACCAAGAGAGGAGAACTCAAGCTGAACGGTTGTTTAGTCAAGAGGAATGAGAAAGTGCATCGTCAGAGTCATCTGAGCCCTGGGATTAACTCAAATCTCCATTTGGGCGGCACAGTCCCCTTTCATAATCCTCTCATACCATCCCTCATTTGATAGCCAGGGCAAGTCTTACTATCCCCTAAAGACAGAGACTGCAGCCCGGACAGAGCAACCAGTTATGACTCGTCTGAATACAAAGAACATAAAATCCAGCTTCAATTCAACATGGTTTATGTAATAGGAGAATTTATTGGCTCAAGGGACTGGTATGCATAGATCTGCAGCTTCAGGTATGGCTGGATCCAGGGGTCCAAACAAGGCTGTTAGAAATTGCTTCAGTTCCTTCCTCTGTGACAGCTTCCTGTCCAGGTAGGCTCCTCACCATGACAGCTTCCTGTCTAGGTGGTAAGGTGATATCCCACAGCTCCCTCAAACAAGCAAATACCTTGTTCCCAAAAGTTCTAGCAAATCTCAGGTCTCACTCTCATTGGCCTGATTTGGGTCACGTGCTCATCCCAGAACCAATCACAGTGGTCTGGTTTGACCAGGGATGAAATTTGCCCCACTCCAGAGCCAAGGGGTGGAGGTAACCCCATCCCAAGCACACAGTCTGGCCCCTGGGGGAAGGATGTAGAATATATCCGTTTCCTAGGGTGGCTGCGTAACATATTGCCACAGGCTTGGCAGCCTAGCACAACAGAAATTTACTGGCCCACAGTTCCGAAGCCAGAAGCCTGAAGTCAAAGTGTCAGCAAAGTCGGTTCCTCGTGGAGGCTCAGAGGAAACCACCCCGTCTCTCTCTCCCAGCTTCTGGCCATTGCCGATAATCTCTGGCGTTCCGTGGGGTGTAGCTGTATCAGTTTAATCTCTGCCTCCGTCCTCACATCTTCTGCTCTGTGTCTCTGAGCGTCTCTTCTTGGAAGAATACCAGTCATTGGGGTTCGGACCCATCCTAAATCCAGGATGGTTTCATCTCAAGATTTCTAACTCATTACGTCTGCAAAGACCCTCTTTCCGAATGAGTTCATGTTCTGGGGTCGTAGGTGGACATGGATTTTGGGGGCACACTGTTCAATCCACTACAGGGTGGGTCCACGGAGAGAGAACCAGGTGGCCAAGCCATAAGGCGCCACCATGGCAGAGTAGGGGGCGCCTGCAGGTCTGCACCCCTCACGCTCTGACCTCCTCTCCCTCCCCAGCCGTCGGGCTGTTTGCCGCCATGGCCGCGGTGCTCCTCGGTGGGGTCCGGGCGTCCAGGCTGCTCTTCCGGAGGCTGTTGTGGGAGGTGATGCGGTCTCCCATCAGCTTCTTTGAGCGGACGCCCATCGGGAACCTGCTGAACCGCTTCTCCAAGGAGACAGACATGGTGGACGTGGACATCCCAGACAAACTCCGGTCCTTGCTGACTTTCGCCTTTGGACTCCTGGAGGTCATCCTGGTGGTGGTGGTGGCCACCCCCCTGGCCATCGTGGCCATCGTGCCGCTGTTGCTCCTCTATGCTGTTTTCCAGGTATGGAGAGGTCAGGGAGGCTCCCGGGCCCAGCTGAGGTCACCTCAGCCAGTGCCCTGTCTCTGGACAGGACCCGGTGTATGCAGTTCTGTTGAGCTGGGCGTCTGGGGCTGCCCCCAGAATAATCTCCAGGGTGGAGACACCACAGTCTGTTTCTGATATCTACGCTAGATGTCAAAGTTCTTAATACCTAACATCGTAGCCTGCTGCAGCTGCCTCTCCAACTATCTGGAAACCAAGAGGGCACTGCACGGTCTCCAACACTATAGGTTAAGCTAGATTCTTCCCATTGCCAGGGCCAGAGACCAACTTAAATTAGCTTAAACGAAAAAACAGAACTTAATGGCTTGCATTCCTGGGGACAGTGGGTCCAGCTGTCACCAGGACACCGTTACTCTCGCCACATCTTCACTCAGCGCCTCTCACAGTGTGGTCCCAGGACTAGCGGCAGTGCCACCTGGTTAGACATATAGATTCTTAGGACCCTCCCTACTGACTCAGACACTGTGGGAGTGGGACCTAGAAACGTGGGTTTTAACAAATCATCCCAGTAATTCTGATACACACTAACATCTGAGAACCACTGGCTCAGCTCCGCTTGGCCTAACTTTGGATACGCTCTCGTTCCCTGGGCTAGATCTAATGGCCACCCGCGGCCCTGTACTCACATCACCGGGCGTTAGCAGCACCAAAGAAAACTTTTCTCCAGCTCAGTACTCATATGTAGATCCCAGGGAAGGTTCTGGTTGGCCCTTTGTGGGTCACGTGACCATCCCTGAACTTGCACACAGAACTTGCCACCTGAAACCAAATAACAATGCATCTTTGTGCATCACCTGGCACTGCCATGCAACCCTTGGGTTTAATGAGTGACTCTGACTTGGCCAACTGCCACGGTGGCCCTTTATAGTTTTGTTCCCACAGTGACCAACCCTAAATGAAGGTGTTGGCCTCAGTCATGGGAAATGAGACATTTAAACTAAATTGGTGGTTTCTCAACCCTGGCTATACATTAGGCTTACCTGGAAGGCTTTTCAAAACACCAAAGCCAAGGTGACATCACCAGAAATCCTGATTTAGTCGTTCCGGGGTGGGGCATTGGAGGTTTTGGGAGATGATTTTCAAAAGAACCATGGCACTCTGGTTCTGCAAGGAAATGGGGGCCCAGAGAGGGCAAGCAACTGGCCCAAGGTCACATAGCAAGCTGGTAACAGAGCCCAGTCTGGAACCCTGTACTCGGGGCTCCCTGTGCTTCTGGAAACCACCTCTCTGTGTCTGTAGCTTCTCCTCTCCCCTCTCCTCCCCATCCTGCCTCAGAGCCTGTATGTGGCCAGCTCGTGCCAGCTGAAACGCCTGGAGTCAGCCAGCTACTCGTCTGTGTGCTCCCACGTGGCTGAGACGTTCCAGGGCAGTGCGGTGGTCAGGGCGTTCCGGGCCCAGGGACCCTTCGTGGATCAGAACGACACCCGTGTGGATGAAAGCCAGAGGGTCAGTTTCCCACGACTGGTGGCTGACAGGTAGGAAGAGGCCGGGGCCAGACATGACCTTACAATCCCTCTGTGTCCCCAGGGGGTGAGACCTGAGGATGCACTGTGGCCAGATAGGTCAAGTGGCCCACCCAGGTCACACAGCCAGTCGGGGACATAGCTAAGGCTCGATCCCACAGGCAGTCTCTTGGCTTTCGCTGTGGGCGTATGGAACCTAGCCTGAGACGTCCCCAACAGCAAGCGAGCGGGAGGTACAGGAAGAAGCCTCCATTGTCTTGGTGACAAAGCAGCTATGTAAGCATCCTCAGCCTGACAAGCTTGGAGCACAGATAGACTCAGGTTCAAATCCCAGCTCTGCCACGTACTTGCTGGCCAATCTTCAGCAAGTTACATGACCTCTCTGAGCCTCATTTGTCAAACTGGTCACCCTCATTGAGTGGCTACGAGGATTAAATATGTACGCTCATAGGTGAGACTTGTAACATGCCTACTGCATGCCTGGCACTGTGCTGAGCGATCTAGCTGCATTATTTAATTTTGCTAACGTCACAAGGCAGAGACTGTTTTATAGAGATAAATCTTAGGCACAGAAAGGTTTGGGAACTTGCCCAAGGTCACACAGCTAATGCATGGTGGAGCCAGGATTGGGTCCAGGCGGTCTGGTGCCAGAGTGTGGACAGGATCAAGCAAACAGTAGGTTCTCAATAAACGCGAGTTCTTTTCTGCCCAGGTTCCGGCCACCTGAGGCTCTGAGGTCCGTAACTGTGGGCAGTGTCACAATTGCAGGTGCCCTCCGGAAGACCTGACTGCTCCTTCCTGGGGTCCTGGCCTAGGGAGGAGGGACTTTATGAACATTTAAAAAGCACCTAATATGTGCAAAGCTTAATGATTTCTGTGCTGTACATGATGTATCTCATTTAGTCTCCTCAACTGGAATCACCCAGATATTACTTCATCACACAGAAGTATTCAAAAAAGTAAAGAGACTCTCCCAAGGTCAGCCAGCTAGGGAGTGTTGGAACCAAGGTGGGACTTTATTCGTTTATTCATTCCTTAGTTGGCTCACTGAGAAACACCACCTGTCGGAGAAGGTGTGTGCTTTCTGGCGTTAGTCGGGTAGATGTGGCTTCACATCCTGGTGTTTGCCGCACGTGTGGAATTAAGCAAGTACCGAACCCTCTGAGCCTTGGCTTCCCCATCTGTCAAATGGGAACAACAGTACCCCCCACCCCTTGTGTTAGGAGGATTAGAAGTTATATGTAGGACAGCTCAAGAGTTCCCCGAGGACAGTGATTTTTAGGTGTTTGATTTATGGGCATTTCCCCAGAATCTCAAACATGCGTAGCACATAGTAGGTACTCAACACGTATCTGTTGAATGAATGGATGGATGAATATATGAATGGTAGAGTAGGAAGTCAATAAGAGGGGTACATATTTATTCATCCATTCATTACATATTTATTGAGCACCTACTATGTGCTGGGTCCTGTACTAGGTACTGGGGATCAAGCTGTGAATGAAACAGACACGGTCGCTGCTCTCATGGAGTTCGGGATCTACTGGTAGAGACCAATAATCAGTGGCGAAATCAGTAGAGAAGTAACTATTGTGAAGGACAAGGAGGTGCAGTCGGGGAAGGCTCTCCTGGGAGGTGACGTGTGAGCCGACTTGTGCATCCAGATGTTGGCCGCATGAAGGCCGAGGTCAGGGTTCAGGCCAGAAGAGCTGCAAGGGGAACGGGGCCTGGCATACCCCAGGGACAGAAAGCGGCACAGCAAAGCCCTGCTAAGCGCCAAGAGTGTGCCAGGCTCTGAGCTGGGCTCAGGCAACACGGGACAGTGTCGCCTTCCCCTCCCAGCTCGGGTGGGGCCTGTTGCTGGGCATGGAGCTGGCGCAACAGTGCGTCCTTGGGCCCAGGGAAGCAGGTCCCTGCGGACGACGGCACCCACTACCCCCGCTGCTTCCTGCCTCCCCGTGCAGGTGGCTCGCGGCCAACATGGAACTCCTGGGGAACAGCCTGGTGTTCGTGGCCGCCGTGTGTGCTGTGCTGAGCAAGGCCCACCTCAGCGCCGGCCTCGTGGGCTTCTCTGTCTCCGCCGCCCTCCAGGTACCCGATACCCCCAACCCGGGCTTGGGGGTGCAGGTGGAACCAGAGACAGACAGGCCCCTGACAGCGGGACCTTCAGAGACCCCGAGTCCA